CCCGAATAGTCTCCAGCGACTGCGGAGGAGATAGTTGAGATTGAATATAAAATACGAAATGGCATTCAATCAAGCCCTGTCTCTGTATGATAAGATCGGGGTTGGGATCTGCACGCTCCGTTTTCACCCAGGAACCAGGTTGCGTTTCTCTTCGCTCACACCTCCTATTCCAAAAAAAAAAGACGTTAAATCGGGTGGAAAAAGTGCATCCATCCACAAATTTTGCATAATGTTTTCTCTAGTCGTGCACGAATTCTCGGATAGAGCCACCTACCCCTCGTTTTGGAGAAATCTGACTGGCTCACAGATTTGAGCTGAAACAATTAGGGCCTTAATTTGCCAAACGAAGCAAAATGCTTCGTTTAAGACGGAATATTTCTACCTTCTTTTGTGAAACAGATGGAACGCAGCAAAATGCTACGTTTTACCGCGAAAAGGTTAATAGAACTTCTAAGTACCATTATTTGTATTTATTTGGGGGTAGAAGGGGTAGTATTATCAAAGTTTTTTTTGGAAGAATTCAACAAAAATGCAAAATTTTCAATCATAAAAAAGAATAAAAAATGTGTATAAGAAACTTGACCAAAAATGCTACCTCTTCTACCCCCGTGGCATTTTGTCTCTTTCATTACCACTACAGCTTGTTTAGTATTAGAAATGCTTAAAGGAGTATACTACACCCATGCTACACCCATGCTACCCCGTCTACCCCTGTGACGTTTTGTGTCTTTCATTACAGTCTAGATCAGCTGTAGTTGTAAAATATTGAGAAGGTTTACGCTACCCCATGCTGTGCCAATGGAACACCTTCTACCCCCGTCATTTCAGTTGGTAGTGATTATACTATCTAGACTGCTTCTAATATCAAAAAAATCATAAGACAGATGCTACCCCGCAAATTTTATGACACTGCATTTATAAATAGGATCGCAAACTCTGCTCTAATATCTCTTTGGAATAACATTTCAATAATATACCATGCGATTTGTGCTCTTGGATAAATGGTTTCGCGATCA